ATCTGCTCCTCTTGTACCCTCTGGCTGTTTGGGGGTCTGTAATATAGTCCCAAAAGACAGACCATCCCCTTCTTGTTTCTAAATATAGTTTCTAGCTATGACCTCATTTGGTGACTCCTTAAGGATATCCTCTCTAGGCACTAACGTTATGTCTTTCCTTATCAAAAGGACAATTCCTCCTTCTCGCTTATTTGTACTTCTGTCACACCTGTGGCTTTTGTATCCTGGAACATTGAACTGCCAGTCCTGCCCTTCTCTCAGCCATGTTTCTGTTATGGCAATAATATACCATTCTCCAGAGCCAATCCATGCTCTGAGATCATCTGCATTACCAGTCAGGTGTTGTGTGTTGAAATAAATGCACTTTAAACCAGAAGTCTTTTCCCTCCTTTTACTGTGCCCCTGGCTTTCCTGAGTATTAAACTTGCTCTTAATGGCTATTGTATTTTCCCCTGACTTCTCCATGGCCCCTCTCTTATTAAGAATCCCACCTCCCTGCCAAACTAGTTTAAACCCTCCTGGGTAACACTAGCAAATCTGCCCGTGAAGATATTGGACCCCCTTCCGGTTTAAGTGCAACCCATCCTTCATGAATAGGTCACGTCTACCCCAGAAGAGATCCCAATGATCCGAGAACTGAAATCTCTGCCTCCTACACTAGCTCCTCAGCCACGCATTCATCTAGCCTATCTTTCTATTTCTATCCTCACTGGTGCGTGGCACTGAGAGTAATCCACAGATCACTATCCTTGAGGTCCTACTTTTTAACTTCTTACCTAACTCCCTATACTCATTTCATAGGACCCCATCCCTTTGTCTACATATGTCATTTGTACTGATGTGCACAATGACCTCTGGCTGTTCATCCTCCCCCTTCAGAATGTTCTGCAACCGCTCAGAGACATCCTTGACCCTAGCACCCGGGAGGAGACACACCATCCTGGTGTCTCTTCTGTGGCCATAGAATCTCCTGTCTGCCACTCACAATTAAGTATCCCATCAGTGCTGCTCTGTCTGACTGCACTCTTTCCCTCTAAGCCTCGGAGCCAGTTATAGTGTCACTGACATGGCTGCTGCTGCTAGCCCCGGAAAAGGTCATCCCCCTGCCAACGGTGTCCAAAGTACTATACCTGTTTCTTGAGGGGAATGGCCATAGGGGAATCCTGCATTATCTGCCTTGGCCCCTTACCTCTTCTGGTGGTCACCCAGATACCTGCAGCCTGCATCTTAGGAGTGATCACTTCACTATAGCTCTTATCAATGATGTTCTCTGCACCCCGGATGATCCTAAGTGCATTCAGCTCCAGTTCCCTAACACGGTCTGCCAGGAGCTGTAGCCGGGTGCACTTCTCACATGTGTAGCCACCAGGACCACTGCAAGTCTCCCTGGTCCCACATCATGCAAGAGGAGTATGCCACTGCTGTAACTGCCATCCCCACTAGATCATAGATCATAGATCCCTACAGTGTGGAAACAGGCCCTATTGGCCCAACAAGTCCACACCGACCCGCAGAGCATCCCACCCAGACCCATCCCCCTATAACCCACCTATTCTACACATCCCTGAACACTATGGGCAATTTAGCATGGCCAATCCACCTAACCTGCACATCTTTGAACTGTGGGAGGAAACCAGAGTTCCTGGAGGAAACCCATGCAGACATGGGGAGAATGTGCAAACTCCACACAGACAGTCACCCAAGGGTGGAAGTGAACCCAGGTCCCTGGTGCTGTGAGGCAGCAGTGCTAACCATTGAGCCACCAGGCCGCCTGTCTATCTACTGCCCTCTGTCTAGACAAAAAGGGAGTTAAAGAGCCTGTACCCCTTCTCAGCCTCTTCACACCACAACCTCTCATACAAAGGACTCAACACTTCCCATCTAACACTGTTCACTTTCTTCGTGGCTGCAGCCTTGTACACCTTTACCTTGCCAGTCATATTCCTCACAGAGTCCCTTATTTTTGATCAGAGGGAGGAGGTAGAGTAGGAAACACCAATGTAGTGTTTCAGGTTTAACCACACCTTGACACCAGGTTCTATCTGACCTGCTGTAGAGTTGTGATCAGTGTGGCAACGTCTCCCAGAATTCCACCACGATGACTCTCGGCCACCCTCTGATTCACTGCCCTTCTTCGCCGTCTCATGTAAGGTGTCCTGTGGAGGTCTCCTGTACAGTCATGACGACTGTAGCGATGTCTCCCAGAATTCCACTGTGATGACTCTCAGCCACCCTCTGATTCACAGCCCCTCTTCACCATCTCATGGAGGGTGTCCTGCAGAGGTCTCTTGTACAGTCATGATTACTGTTGGTGATGTCTTCCAGAAATGCGCTGTCATAACTCTCAGCCACCGTCTGATTCTTGTAAACCTCCTCTGGATTCCTCCAAAGCCAGCATATCCTTCCTGATATTGGGCCCAAAACTAATGAGAATATTCCAAATATGGTCTGACCACAGCCTTATACAGTCTAAGCAGTATATCCCTGCTCTCGTATTCTAGCCCTCGCAAAATGAATGCTAACATTGCATTTGTTTTCTTAACTACCAACTGAATCTGCATGTTAACCTTAAGAAAGTCCTGTAGGCCTCCCAATTCCCTTTGTGCTTCAGATTTACGAAGCCTTGCCCATTCAGAAAATAGTCTATATAGTCTAAATAGTCAACTCTTTTCACTAAAGTTCATAACTTCACACTTTTCCACATTGTATTCAATCTGCCACTTTTTTGCCTACTCTCCTAGCCTGTTTAAGACCTTCTGCAACCTCCATGCTTCCTCAACATTACCTGCCCTGCCAGCTATCTTTGTGTCATCCACAAACTTAGTGATATTTCCGTCAGTTCCTTCATCCAGATTGTTAATATGTAATTTGAATAGTTATGGTCCCAAAACTGCAGAACTCTGCACTGGCCACTATCCTGAAAAATGTCCCTTTATCCCCATTCTCTGCCTTCTGCTGGTCAGGAAATCCTCGAATCATGCCAGTACTTTGCCCCTCACACCATTGGCTTTTATCTTATTTAGCATCTTTCTATGTGGCACTTTGTCTCAGGCCTTCTGGGAAACCAAATATATCACAGCCACCAGCTGTCCTTTATCTAACTTGCTCATTATCTCATCAAAAAATTCAAACAGGTTTGTCAGACTTAACCTCTCCTTGACAAAGACATGCTGACTTAGCCCAATTTTAACATACATTTCCAAGTACTCTGCAATCTCAAACTCTATAATGAGCTCTAAAATCTTAACGACTATTGAGGTCATGCTAACTGACCTAAACAGGATGTTGCATTAGCCATTTTCCAGTCCTCTGGGACTCTCTCTAAATCCAGTAATTCCTGAAAGATCACCATCAATGACTCCAGAATCTCCTCAGCTATCTCCTGAATATGGGGTGTAGTCCATCCAACTGGGTGATTCATCTGCCTTTAGACCTTTCATCTTCCCCAACACATTCTCCTTAGTGATGGCCACTAAACTCACTTCTGCATCCTGACTCTCTCGAAGTTCTGATATGCTGCTGGCGTCTTCCACGTTGAAGGTTGAAGCAAAATATCTATTTAGTTCTTCCACCATTTCTTTGTTCACTATTACTATTGCTCTAACCTCATTTTCATGTGATCCAATGTCCACTCTCGCCTGTCTCTTTTATATACCTAAAAAAACTGCTGAAATCTTCTTTTACATTACTGGCTAGCTTACTCTCATATTTCATCTTCTCCCCCTCCTTATTACTTTTACATTTGTCCTCTGCTAGTTTTTAAAGACTTCCCAAAGCTCTGGGTTCCTATTAATCTTCACCACATTGTATGCTTTTTCTTTTGCTTTGATGGTGTCTCTCATTTCCCTTGTCAGCCATAGTTGCCTTGTTCTCCCTTAATATATTACTTATTCCTGGGGATAAATTTCTGTTGTGCCTTCCAAATTACCCCAGAAATTCCTGCCATTGCTGTTCAACCATTGTTTTTGGTAGGTTGCCCTTCCAATCAACTCTGGCCAGCCCCTCCCCCATGTGTTTGCAGTTACCTCTACTCAATTGTAATACTATTAGAGATAGTAGTTGTCCCCTCCCCCTACCGCATCCCAAAACCAGTCCAGCTCGTCCACGCCTCCCTAACCTGTTCTTCCTCCCACCTATCCCCTCCTCCCACCTCAAGCCGCACCCCCATCTCCTACCTACTAACCTCATCCCGCCCCCTTGACCTGCCCATCCTCCCTGGACTGACCTATCCCCTCCCTAACTCCCCACCTACACTCACCTTTACTGGCTCCATCCCCGCCTCTTCGACCTGTCTGTTTCCTCTCCACCTATCCTCTCCTCTATCCATCTTCTATCCGCCTCCCCCTCTCTCCCTATTTATTTCAGAACCCCCTTCCCATCCCCCATTTCTGATGAAGGGTCTAGGCCCGAAACGTCAGCCTTTCTGCTCCTATGATGCTGCTTGGCCTGCTGTGTTCATCCAGCTCTGCACCTTGTTGTCTCTGTAATACTATTACATTTGATTCTACCTTCTTCCTCTCAAACTGCAGGGTGAATTCTATGGTATTGTGGTCACTGCCCCCTTGGGGTTCCTCTGAGTTCTCTGCTTTTCCTGCTCCACATTTCCTCCAAGTGACTGCAGCATTGTTTTTTCATATTGGGTCACCTGCCTTTCCATCCACTCCCTGTTCGTGTCTCTGTGGCTGCTAACTGAAAGTGAAAACCCGAGGTGGAACCAATCAGTAGTTTACCTCCATGAAAATCAGGCTTATTACTGCTACCCCAGAAACACTCCAAGTTTGTTTCCCCTCCTAGGAAAAAAATTCTGACCCAAAAGCTTACAGTTAGAAAATCACCTTTTTTGTAAAAAACTTAAATGTTTTACTAAAGAGATAATTCAAAAGCTTGTCTTGTCTGATGTCTATTTTATGTTATACCAACAGACTCATACATTTATGTTCATTTTATAGTACATAAATAAAGCTTATAGGAATTACACAATTCACTGTTTCATATGACAGGCAAAAGACGAATCCAAGATACTACGGAATGAAGGCAAGATTCAAAAAGCAGAATCAACTGAAAAATCAATGAATAGAAGGTAATGAACAATAAAATCATTTTCATGTTTTGATTTAGTTGAACATGTGATCCTTTTCTAGCATCACTACACCATCATTCAGAAGGGCAGGATTATGGTTGCCTTCCTCCATTTTTGTCTATTTAATTTTAGCCAGAAGTTACTCATCATTGACATCTTTTCCCATTCACGCATAATGATATCTGGTGTCTACAGATGATCAGTCCATGTCCCATTCCAATTGCTTGTTAACGAGTGTCCATGGCAATATTAGCCAAAACATAATGTCAGTTTTTACATTTCCACTATGAAATAACTCTATGAAGGCCGGTATCCTGTCACCAACTCATCCTTTATTTACACGTGCATAGTTCATGGCACTGATTCAACTAACTCAGAGCCAGCTTCTATAGTGAACAAAACCCCTGACACTCCTGTTTATATCTGTCAACCAGGACTCCCTGATTGGACCAAGTTAACAGCCCCAATCAGGGAACTCATATTCTATGATGTCTACCTGGCTGACCTCATTCCAATCTCTACATACCATCTCTTGATCTTACCCCTCCTCAAAATGGTGAAACTCCAAGCTCAGAGGCAAAAAATAACACTCAACAGCTACTAGAAAATGTAAAGTAGTTCTTCCTTTCCCTCTAGTCTGAATTTCTACCTGCACCAAATTTTTAATTTAGTCCATGAAGCACTGCGTGTGATAGCAAACATTGGTGAGTTTTATATGTAGCTTATGTCTCATTCCCCCATTTTGACTGAAAATTCAGTGACTTGCTACATTATTAACACTTAATAATGCAACTATTTTTGTTTGATTGACAGTTCAGTGCCACTGTCAATTCTTAACTAGCTTGTAGCTTCTTTTGCAGTTACGAAGTTCAAAATCAAATTCTACCTTTTAAACTAAATTACAGCTTGAGTCTTGCATGGAATTTTCTGCCACTCCTGGGAGTGGGAAGCAAGACAGCTCAGGGAATCTAATTGCTGAGAACAATTCAAGTTCCCAGCTGATCATCACTTTCAGGTCCTTCATGGGCTTTGGGAGGAGGATACAACTTTTTCAAGGAGAGCACTTCTCCTTTGTCAAGGCAGATTTGACACTCTACTGGGACCACCAAGATAGGTAGTTGATAGCTGTCACATGGTGTTTCGCAGTCATAAGTAAGCTAGACCTCACTTGGCAACAGTTACAGAAACAGGCAGTTGCTCCAGCCTGTGGTCACAGAGTCATAGAGATATACAGCACAGAAACAGGCCCTTCGGTCCAACTCGTCCATGCCAACCAGATATCCTAAATTAATCTAGTCCCATTTGCTAGCATTTGGCCATATCCCTCCAAATGCTTCCTATTCAAGTACCCATCCAGATGCCCTTTAGATATTGTAATTCTACCAGCCTCCGCCACTTCCTCTGGCAGTTCATTCCATATATGCACCATCCTCTGCTTGAAAAAGTCGCCTCTTAGGTTCCTTTTAAATCTTTCCCCTCTCATCTTAAACCTCTAGTTTTGAACTCTCCTACCTTGGGGAAAAGACCTTGAGTATTCACTCTATCCATGCTCCTCATGATTTTATAAACCCCTCAAACTGCCATGCTCCAGAGAAAATAGCCCCAACCTATTCAGCCTCTCCCTATAACACAAACCCTCCAACTCTGGCAACATCCTTGTAAATCTTTTCTGAACCCTTTCAAGTTTCACAACATCCTTCCTATAACAGGGGAACCAAAACTGAACGCAGTATTCCAGAAGTGGCCTAACCAATGCCCTGTACAGCCACAGCATGACCTTCCAACTCCAATTTCCAATGTACTGACCAATTCAGGCAAGCATGCTAAATACCTTCTTCATTACCTTGTCTACTTGTGACTCCATTTTCAAGGAACTATGACCACGCACTCCAAAGTTCCTTTCTTAGGCAATGCTCCCCAGCACCTTACCATTAAGTGTATAAATCCTGCCCCAATTTTCCTTATCAAAATGTAGCACCTCACATTTATCTAGACTAAACTCCATCTGCCTCTCCTCAGCCCATCAGATCAAGGTCCTGTTGTACTCTGAGGTAACCTTCTCAGCTGTCCACTACACCACCAATTTTGGTGTCATCTGCAAATTTACTAACCATTCCTCCAAATCATTCATATAGATGACAAAAAGCAGTGGACCCAGTACTGATCCCTGCAGCACACCACTGGTCACAGGCCTCCAGTCCAAAAAGCATCCCTCCACCATCACCCTTTGTCTCCTACCCTCTAGACAATTTTGTATCCAAATGGCTAGTTCTTCTTGCATTCCATGTGCTCTAACCTGTTAGTGAGAGCATGCACCTGGCTCAATGACTTATTCAATGTTTCCTACAGAAGACCAGTTTTTCTCCCATGAACATCATCACAAAGACCTAAGAATCACTGGCACTCACAATTCTGTCTCCAGTCACATGTAGTGCACATGGAAAGGGCAGCAAAACCTTAAATGTTTTCTACTCCTGCTGAACTTCCTCTCCATCAATACTCTCCAAGGCTCAGCATCTGTGGCCAACAGAGGGTTTCTACAGATACATTAAGGACAAAAGAGTAATTAGGGAGAGAATAGGGTCCCTTTGTGTGGTGAGATGGGTGAGATATTTAACGAGTATCTTGGATCAGTATTTACTGTGGAGATGATATGGAAGCCAGAGAACTTGGGAAAATAAATAGTGATTTCTTGAAAAGTGTCTGTATTACAGAGGAAGAGGTGATAGATGTCTTAAAATGCCTAAAGATGGATAAATCCCCAGGACTGGATCAGGTGTACCCTAGAACTTTATGGGAAGCCAGGAAAGTGATTGCTGGATCCCTTGCTGAGATATTTAAATCATCTATAGCCAAGGGTGAGGGGCCAGAAGACTGGAGATTGGCTAACATGGTGTCATTATTTAAGACAGGTAGTAAGGAAAAGCCAGAGAACTATAGAACGGTGAGCCTGACATCAAGTTGTTGGAGAGGATTCTGAGTGACAGGATTTACATGTATTTGCAAAGGCAAGGATTGATGAAGGGTAGTCAACACGGAAATCACGTCTTAATAATTTGATTGAGTTTTTTGAAGAAGTGTTGAAGAGGATTGATGAAGGCAGAGCGGTGGACGTTGTTCATATGGACGTCAGCAAGGTATTCGACAAGGTTCCACATGTAGACTGGTTAATAAAAATACCATCTGTGCTTCACTCAGTGAAGCAAATTGCTCTCCAGCTAGCACAGAGTATGGTAGGCCATGATAGGAAAAATGAATTTCCACATCTGACCCTTGCATCCTCCCCTCATATTCAGACTCCCAAAAACTATTTCCTGTCCTGATGGTCTTGTCAGTTTTGCACAGGTACAAGTGAGACAATTTTCAGCAGAATCTTCCTGGCTTCCCAAATCTAGGGAATCTCAGTCAGACCATATGAACAATTAGAATATAGATACATGTAGCTTGCTTCTAGTTCTGTTGAAGCCACAATAGGAGGACCACATTGGAACAGCAGAAGGAAAATGCTAGAGTGATCTGTGAACTGCAAATTTAGAACCACTCAAATGATACAGCATAGCAGTGAGCCATTAGGTCTACCTTATCCATGCTAACCAAAAGACCTTTCCAATCTCATTTTCCTTTACACGGCCCATGTCATTGCAGCTTACAGCACTTAAGGTGCAGATCCAGGTACTTGTTAGAAGTGTTTGGGGTCTTTGCCTCCACCACCAACTGAGGCAGTGAATTCCAGACACACGCCACCTTTTGTGTAAATAAGTTTTTCCTCACGTCCCCTCTAAAGCTTCTGAAACTTTGCTTGAATCTGTGACCCCTAGTTTTTGAACTCTCTGCCAAGGGAAATAGATTTCTCCTGTCTGCTCTATCTCTACCCCTCACAATTTTGGATATCTCAATCATACAAGGAAAACCAACTAAACCTCTCCAATCTCTCCTCATATCTACAATTTTCCAGTCCTGGCAACTTTCTATAAATCTTCTCTGCAATCTCTCCAGAACAATTATGCCTGTCCTGTAATGTGGTGACCAGAACTGCAGACAATACTCCAGTTGTGGCTTGACCAGTTTTATACATTGTATCCCTGTTTACTCTATACACCTCTGATGAAGGACATTAACTTACTCAATATTGACTGGGACTCCCTTAAAGCAAGAGGCTTAGACAAGGCAGAATTTGTTAAGTGCATCCAAGAGGGTTTCTTGAAACAGTATGTGGTAGGCCAACTAGAGGAGGGCCCATACTGGATCTTGTACTGGCTAATGAGACTGGCCAGGTGACTGACCTTTCAGTGGGAGAGCATTCTAGAAAAAATGATCATAAGTCCTTAAGTTTTAAGGTAGTTACGAATAAGGATAAGTCAGGACTTTGTGGCAAAGTACTAAATTGGGGGAGGGCAAATTATGTCAGTATTAGACAGGAGCTAGGGAGTGTTAATTGGGAGTGTTTATCAGGCAAGTTCACATTTGGCATGTGGGAATTGTTTAAAGGCCTGCTGATGAGATTTTAGGATCAGAATATTCCAGTAAGGTGGAAGGACACGGATGGCAAGATAAGGGACCCTTGGATAGCGAGGGAGGTTGTGGATTTAGTCAAAAGGTAGAAAGAAATATATGTATGGTTTGGGAAGCTAAAATCAGACAAGGCCTGTGAGGAATCTCAAGAAAGACGGAAAGTACTCAAGCAGGGAAGTAGGAGAGCAAGAAGTTACCATGAAACGACCTTGGCAAGTAGGGTTAAAGAGAATCCCAGGCATTCCATACATACATTAAAAACAAGAAGATTACTAGGGAGAAGGTAGGACCACTCAAGGATAAAGGAGGGAACTTCTGCTTGGAGGCAGAGGATGTGGGTGAGATCCTAAATGAGTACTTTGCATCAGTATTCACCCAGGAGAAGGATATGGAGGATAGTAAGATTTGTGTGGAGCATGCCAACAGACTACGGCATTTTGAGATAAAGAAAGAAGTGGTGTTGGATTTCTTGAAGTGCATTGAGGTGG